ACCTTATTATTGTCACTTTTTCGTTATACCTAAAATATATACATATAATTAAGCTGACCGGGAAAAAACGGTTGGTGGATTTTTTCAATAACGTATTCCACATAATACATTTTTATGTACATAATATTGTACGCTAATTTCTGTTTTACGTCATGTCTACCAATAATTTTTGCAAAAATATAGTGGACCAAATAACACATGTCCTATGTCTTGTTATTTTACTATATTATGTGTAATAAAAATAATAATAATTGGATTAAGAAAATATATACTGTCTTTGTTATTATTAATATCTTTAAACTACATTAGTCATTTAATTCATTACAAATTTCAGTTTTAGATTCAATAAGAATACCACCTTTATTTGTAGTCTTATTTATTTTATTTTTATATTTGCTTGGTTTTCCTGTTATCACATTAAAAATACTTCAATTCTGTATACTGTTAGGTTTGGCTCGTTTTTTTTTTTTGTAGTAGTGTATTTTTATAAACAGCTCATGTTATCATTTCTCACGAAATGGCTGCCAATTTAGAGTTACTTCAATTAAATTTAGTCAATCCACAACAAGTAGAGTTCTGTTCAAATCAACTTTATATCAACTGTGACTTAATAGAATCCATATACAGTTAGTTATATTATGTTGACAAATTGTTTTTTTTATAAAATAATAAAAATTGATAAAGTAAACAACAAACTACGTCATAAAAGTTTGACTACGCAGTACAAGTTACCACCAAAATAAAAACTAGCGTTTTTGTAGACAAGATTTAGAAATAATATTTAAAAAAATATACAAGAAACAAGCTGGTGGTGTCTTCAATTTGGTGAAAGAAAATGCTTTTGCTGCTCAAATTTTTGGGATGGTATGTGTATTCTTTTTGTTAAAAAAATAAATCAAAAATTACTTTTTTTGAACTTACGCCGATGATTTGTTTTGCAGGTACTCGTATTACCTTGTCTACCACCGCACAGGATTGAAAGAATTCTATCAATAGTTGATGGATTCAACGCTACGGCTCTCTATATGCTTCAAGATGAAGATATGGCCTACCAGCTCAATACTTTTATTTATGATTACCTGTATCGATTCTGGTTTGTAGAAATTGGACCTGATAATATTTCTGTATTCAGGAGAGACATTAGGACAAATAATTATTTAGAAAGTTACCATTCAATGCTATTACAAATTATGAAGCGTCATCCTAAAGTATGGGAGTATATTGGTAAGTTCTTATGTAAGGTCTATTAAAAATATATTGCATTTTCATACAGTAGAATACATATTTTTAATCAATGGTAGAACTGATATTAATCTATTTAATCTTTTTTTAGATCAATTGAGGTTTTTAGAAAATCAAAGCGAGGTTGAATTTAAGCAACCTCAGAGTGAGTAATATCTTAGCATATGATTTAGTCTATGATTTATTTTAATGTACTATATTAAATTGCAGGCCCGTGTTGGTGTTTCAACAAGAACAAGGGAATCCAATACAAGAGCAATTGAAGAAATGACACATGACTATACAGAAGGACGGATTCAAAGATTCTTACGGAGAGCTGGTCATCAAGTCAATGGGTATGTAACTCGTGAAATTGGCAATTAACTAGGTAATTTGTAATTTCTTAAAAAATTTATTATGATATGACATTTGTGCAATAGTGCTCGGGTATATCTGTTTTTATTTTTCTGAAGGGGAATTGTGCTGTAACCATACCAAATAAATATTAACCTACATACTTTGTACACACTTGGAAGACAGAGATTTATACTTAAAGACATAAAAGTTTATTAAATTTATGTAATGTAATGCATTATGTATTTTCAAACTTTGTTTTTGTAAAAAAAATTTAAAAGTGTAATTATATTACTGGTGAACAATGCCAATTATTTATTAATATTTTGTAATGATTTATATTTTATAGGCCGACTTAGTTGAGTTTTACCATTCCAAATTGACTTCTACCATCACTTCAAGCTGGAGGAAATAGTTTCAAGTAATAGCACTTAACTATTGATCAAACCTGTTTAACTTCAATGATTATTTGTACCGTTATTCTTTTTACTGTTTTTTGAAATACATTACACTTTGTTTAATAATAATAAAAAACGGTTATTATTGGTTATTTAAGTTTTTGTCTGCTGTAGAACCTATTTATAAAATAACAATCTATGTCTGTGGTACACAACTGTAACAATATGACAAAACAAGTATTCCTATCTAAAACGCTACTATATAGTTTAAATTACACCATCTGCACGGAGTTAAGTACATATATTCACAGTCCATCATTATTGCTTTACACAATTTATGAATGTAACATAAATTAATAGCTAAATATTGACCCAATACATTTTTAGTTCATATTATTTTCTACCCATGTCTTATTTATTGATATTTAACAATTATGTGTGTGAAAATGAAAGTATTTAAATATTTTATAATAATTAGACAACAGAATTTTGACTTGCTTAAAAAAATAGCTGATTTATTGCATGAAACGTAAATTGTAGATTTATAATTAACCAGTGTATTGTTCTAAATTGTATTAAACATTTTGTAAAGACTGTTATTATAATACCTTTTATAAAAGTTAAATAAATAATAACAATATACCTCATGTGAGTGTAAGATTTACATAAAAAATTTGATTCGGGCGTGCCGAGGCGGAAAGAAAACTGGGTCCGGCAGATCGTTTCAAGGATATTACAATTGTTTTCAGTCGGTGCTGACCAAACTCTACATGATGTCGTCGAGGTTTACTTATATGACGGACGCTTTGGACTTTCTGTACACGTTAGGTCCACATCCGAGAGGTAAACATGGTGTAGTGATCGCCACCCAAAAACTTAGCGAGTACACTCTGAATTTAAGGCAGAGAACTTTGACGAAATTGTCTCAACGCGATATCGACGTGAACGCGGTCGATCACGAAATACAAATCATAACCGACTATATCAATATGTTATTAAGGACTAACATACATTGGTATACCGACCGGAATTGCAATATTTCCGCATACAGAGAATTGACTCCGTGGGGTTCAAACGAAGAATTCATGCACAAAAAGATAAACCGACTGATTCCGCAAGAAATGACTATGGTGCAATATGTAGAAAACGAAATCGATGCTTATGTCGATGGCTTCTGGGTCAATTGGTTCGAAAATTTGGGATTCGCCTATGACGTGGCGGGAAACGTTAAAATAACATAACAATATTGTGTTTATCCTAATAGTGTAGTTATTTTTTGTTTAAAATAATTATCTACTACATAACTTGATATCAAACGAAATGTGTCGATGTGGTATTTTTTTTACAACCCTACACATGTAATGCACGTATATTAAATACTGTCACACGATTTGGGAATTATTAATTAAGATTAACAGCTTGATACACAACTGGTGTTTGTAATTTAAACTAAAAATTGCAGCGATTTGCAAAGCTGCTTTTGATTGTTTTACCAACTTGACTTTACATGCATTTTAAGCTTAAATCCTATTCCCTATATTATCTTTCGAAATATTTTGTTTGATCGATATTGAAGTCAACTTCAAGTACAGTATTAGTCAGTACAGAAGAAGTTAGAATATTTGGGTCAAAGAAATTATTAAATCTGAATGTTAATTTATCACAAAGTATCGACAAATTCGTATGGAAGTTTTTGATCGGATAAAATCCTTCTTTTCTTATTCTGATACTGCACTAATGACAATATTATTCAAATAAAATATTAAACCCGAAAAATATGTTTAATAGGTAATAATAATATCTAATCACATTCAGATTTAAAAATTCATTTGGTCCAACTTGACGAGTATGGTATGCGTATAACGATACACATATGTTTATAAAAATTGCATTTTTTTTAAGACTTACAAATGGTATCATTTATCGTTTTTGTATGTGTGGATTTTGTAAGACCCCATCATTACTTTTTATTTTTCTTGAACAAAATATTTCAATACCTATTTTACTGTACCTTTAACCCGTTCCCCCGAACAACTTCATAAATTTTTTTAAAATCCTTACATATGTGCATTGATTACAGATACAGATACTGACTATTAAGTATTATACTTAATAGTTTACTGATAGTTTACAGTAACTACATTACTGATTACTCTACTTTACTAAATGGAGTAATAGTTTTTAAAAAACACACAGAAAAAACTAATAGCTGTAAAATGTCAACGAATTATTTTCAATTTCCGTTCCCCTTAAGTATCGTAAATTTATCTTTTGAACTTTTCGTGTTTGTTCATTTTATATAAACCGTTTTGGTGCCACATTGTTTTTTGTCGGCTGTACCTAATGTTTTCATTTTTTCAAATGTTTTTTATCTGGCTGATATAATAATATAATATGCTAGGTATTATCTGGTATTGGCTGTATCATTTTTCATGTTTGTTAATTTATTTGAATGCTAACGCCTTACTCTCTCCCAATAAGCCATTCGATATTTATCTTTGTAAAGTAGGTTTTGGTGAATTTGTCATCAGCGGACGACTTATAGTGTGATATCGTTTGTATTTTTTTTTAGATAAATTCAAATAGTTGTACATAATGTTAGAATGTATGCGACTGTTATCAGTACTATTGACGTGTGGTGTGCATAAATTGTTTGTAAAAACAAGGCGCATAATATTAAATAGGTTGGTACATATTATTCCAAATGAATAAACAATAAAAAAAATTAAAAAAATTACTTTTCCATATTCCATAATTCGCCGTACACGTAAATAATATAATAAAAAATGTTGAAGACAGTATCCATACTATTTTATCGTTTTTAGTTTTAAGTTTAATCTATTCTGCCGAAAAACTTTTAAAAACTTGTAGTGCATGTACTTACCTACATTTTTAAATATTTCCGCTTTTTGTTTGGTTAGTGATAACACCTCTGAGTAGATTTAATCTATTCTGTGATAACACTATCACACAACAATTTAAACTATTTTATTCTGCGACGACTGACGCCAAAAGTCAAAACATTATTTTATCATTTAAAAAATTGTATTTCGTATTCTTAGTTCCTGTACAAAATCAAAGTCTACTTATTAAGATTGTTCATTAAAATAAAATTAATAGTTATTAATTATTACGATTCATCCTAGACTATTTCCTAAGTGTTGATCATTAAGTCCCACCTACATCTGTTATTTATATTTGTAAATAATTATCTGGATTTTCTACATTATGAAAATAATAATTATATAATAAGTGCGTCGTCGAAATTGTGAAAATTATATTTTATGGTAAGCATGTTTAACTGTCCAAGTAGTGAATAAAATTTACTACACATACTGACATTACTTAATATACTATTATGATGCATTAGCAGGTTACTTGGGGTAAATAAATACCCCAACATAAGAAATATGGTTTTGTTAGTTTGGCTGACGATAGGTAGTGTTGACATTGATTTAGGTACATTCTATTTATCTGTCGTTATTACATGCTGTTATGTTGTTTTTCCATTCTATTATTTAGTACATTTGATATCTCTGTTGGAAGTTTGCGTTAATGGGTACAGAAAATTATTACTTGCGCTATCAAAACATCGAAATAATGACAATTTTATTTAGAGTCAGCGTAGCAGAAAAACAAAAAAAATATGCACTAATGGTACAAAATTAATATGCAGAGATCAAGGTAGAAGTATCGGGGCGGTGTGGCGCAGTGGACACCTCAGCTGCTGCATGGCACTCGAGGTTAAACTGTGGCCGTTGCTGCTTGAACTCGGATGGGTGACCACCCGGATTTTTAGCGGCGACCCACATCATCAACCCCCGATATGCATGGCAGAAATGCCATGCACCCTCCGGCGACCGAACTGGCATAAAGTTAGCTATAGCCCTCCCGGTCAAATACGCCATTCGAATATATATATATATATATATTTAAGGTAGAAGTATACTCGGGTGTTTTTAATTAAATATAAAAATAAAAATGAAACTATATTTAGTATGAGAAAAACATAATATATAAAAATTAAGTTGTTTTTATATAAATGATTAACCATCAATTGATGAAAATACAGATTAAATATATTCTTGGTCAATTTTTACCGCGCGCGACGCAATAGGTACTTTGAACTTACCCACCTACTGAAATAAATTCTGTAAACCTCAATTGAGAATTGAACGAATGTTTCTCACGAAGATTTTGTGATCTATTGTATATGGTGCACTTACTATTATATTTTGGCTTTTTAAATACTTTTGAACAGTTTATTAGTTTTTATGTAGCTCAACATAAATTTTGAATCAAGTATCAAAATGTCAATATTCTTGTCTAAATCTGAAAATATAATCTAATCTGGACATCTAATGTGTATTTGCTGTAAGTTTTAAATTGTTTGGTTTCAGGTTCACCATGCAAACGTTTTTAGATTGTAAAGAAAATATTGTTGAAGAAAAACTCTGTCCCCTTTTATTTCCAATTAAACGGTATCAAATTCAATATGATTTTATGACCAATCTTTATACGGCGATTAAAAATAAAAAACATGAAATTTTCGATAGTCCTACTGACAATGTGAGTAAAATTCATAATTAAGTGTAGTTTTTAATCTTTTTTTAAATTTTAATAATTTGAGTTTAACAGACTAATAAATACTTATAATTTAATAAAACAGTAAAATCATTGTTAATTAAAATTTTTATATTGCTTTCAGGTTAAGAGATTAAGTTTCATAATATTTTGTGCAGTGCGTCGGCTATATGGCGTTGAAGAAAGAGAATTGGGGTAGCTAAAGATATTTTCTCATGTTGGAAAATAATCTATTCTTCGGTAATAATAGGTGAGTATTTCTTGGCGTCGAAAAATCTTTTACAACATTATATTATTATGATTGATACTTCTAATAGAACAATATTTCAATTGCAAAATTCCTAGTATATTACATTTTAATAGATTTTAAAAGATTTAAAATCTTTATGGCTATCGTAAAGCCTAACAAAACCATTATTAATTTATTTAATGTGCATAAATCTCAATTGCAAAGAGTAACACAACATACGTATTTTAATTAATTCATAGACAATAACATTTAATACTAATTTATCTATTTATTAATTTCTGACTAACAGTAAATGGATTTGATTCAATACTTGAAAATATGTACCAACAGTATTTGATGGTATCATTTGTATTTTTTCTCTATCATATGGTAATGAACAACTTGGGTACCAACGTTATGGAAAAAATAAAATCATAGACATGCATTCAGAGGAAAAAATTCCTATCCGGAAAAGTAAATTCAATGTTTATTTTAATATATTTATTGAAGATGATTTATTTATTTTTTATTATTACAATATATGATTAGGTGTCTAGAAAATTTAAAACAACCAACAAGTGGATGAAGTATTCAAAAACTAGAAGAAATTTGTTTTTGTCGTCTGATATTAAATTAACAACAATATTGACGTTCAATATCGGTGTCATTGGTAATAATAATACTAAATATTTAGAAATACGACTTTATAACTAATAAATATGAATTTGTCGAAAAATTTTAGTTCTAATTGTCCGGGTATCAATGTATCATGTCAAGAGCGTTATGAGAAAATCAGGAGTTGTCCATGAAAGCTGTGAATCAATCGATTAGTTGATCTGTGCGTCATCAACAGAACTAAAGCTGCCTTGATTCCAAGTCATCGTTAACAGAGAGATAACGTTAAAAATGGTTATTTTATGTAGCTCTAAACATTACTACAAAATGTTTACGGTTAGGTTAGGTAAATTTAAACCGTATAGTGATTAGCTGAACTGAACGTAGGATTCCCAAAAGTTTTAGATCAATTTTCTGAATTTTTCAATTGTATCTTTGGACTTGAAGTAGTCTTTGTAGGAAGCAACCAACAAAATTTACTTAATCCATCAATCAATGCAAAACGTATTTGTATGATGTAACGGAAGTGTCTAATGTGAACATGATAGGTATTTAGAGATTTCCTTATTGCGTGAGTCTGTTCATAACAACCAATTTTTTTTAGCATATTCATGAGAGAGTATGCTCTTTTCTTCAAATTTCAGTTAAATTTGTTAAGTAACAAATCGGTTAAAGGTTTACCAATCAAAGAAAAGCATTTTATACTATTTTTCTGAAATATCTAGTGAGGCCAAGAAAAATTTTAAATGTTCATTGACTTGACTTGTGATAATCTATTCAGAAACGTAAAACATTGTCTTTTTTCTGAACTAAGACTATTGGGCTTGCATAATTGGAACATTTTAGGCTTAATGATGTCTTCTCGTAACCATTTTTCTATTTATTCATCAACTTTAAGTGTTTCTGCTTGACATAAGCGTCGTGGTCTCCGATAAACTAACTCTTTGGTAGTTACCAATCACATATTATGATGACTTCATCGGGCACAATATGAACATTATTAGTGTATGACTATCCATCAGCTCACCAGAAACTACAACTTTTGTATAGAACCTGACTTCTCTTTGCCCATCCAGCAATGTTACATTCTTTTGAGTTATATTTCCAGACAATATGGATACAAAAGCCTTCGGATTAACATTTACATCACTGTCTGTATCAACTAAGGTATCTGTTTGTACGCTTTGTAGACTAACTAGTTTCTTTATGTACTCGAATAATTGATTCACTTGTGCTTTAATATTGTGAAATGTCAGATTTTTGTCTTGTTTTTTATAAGTGTTTTAATTTTTGTTTGTAATAATATATCAAAATTAATTTTGAAGAGTTGGTCTTCTGGTTCTTGTTCTTAATTAAAATTTCATCATTCCACGACACGCAACACTTACACTAATTTAAATTGTTCTAAATATTACGTATTTGGTATCGTTATAATGTGTCATATGTTTTGATTTTTCATGTACCAGTATCAATATCTTTGTAAACTTGATGTTTAAACTAAACCGATTTTTTTTTTAAAACTTTTGAACATTTAAATGAATCTTTTTGCAACGTAGGAGGTATCATGTATCCAAGAGTTTGACATAATGCGTTATTTACACATTAACGTTTTATGCAACTTTTTCATGTAATGTAATTGAAATAATAAATAATTTCCTGTTTAACCCGATGTACTTAAGCTGAACACGTACATTGTGCCTACTGTTCAAAACAATTATTTAAATTTTTTGGTTTGTCAATTAAAAAAAAAAATCAATAAATACAAATTTATTTTTATACATATTATTATGACAATATTATTGTGAATCTTGTGTGTACAAACAAATTTATTTTGCACCTATATTTGGTTAGAAAAATATATCATATTATATAATTATTTAATATTTTCTAAAATATTTGCCTGTTGTTTGAAAACAACATTATTCTCATTACAATCATTATTCTTATAAAAAATATTAAATAGTGCTTAGGTATATTAATACCTACGTGTATATATATATTTGCTGGTTTTGTTGTTTAGTATCTTGAGTACTTGCCACTTAACATTATTACTTCTTATTTACATTTGTACATAGAAGGCATGTTAGTTTATATAAATTGTAAGGATTTAATACTGAGACTATAGTACTTACATTAATATAATATTGTATAGTTAGTAGTAGTTTTTTGATTAGGTATATTGTTCCGTTTTAAATGATAACAAAGATAGATATTAAGAAAATTTAACCTTTTTTAAAGTGTATAAGTGCGTTTGTTAGCTGCTTTTAAATTTTAAATACGTACCTACCTATTAATGTTCAACAGTTTCGACCTCAACATTAGTTTTGAAGCTTTTATGCTGTTTATTAAAGTTTCAAATTGGAAACTGTCTCAAGGTTTAACATTTCACTGTTGGTACCTACATAGAATTTTATAAGAAGTTTGTTATTTAGGTACTTGAGCATATTTTGAGTAATAAAAAATAGACAGGTGCAATTTGGAATTTATAGTAGTATATTATTTTTTTTTAACGAAAGGTACAATTATAATAGTGTATAGGTCGATTATATATAATATAGATTAAAGATTACGATTTTTTGACAAACCTTCGCCATTTAGGTTGATTGATTCTAACATATTTTATTACTCTTAGCAAACTTTATGTCCTAACAGAAACGCTGTGTGGTGGCCTTTGTGCGCGAATGTCTGTAAACGCATAATACGACCGGTAGATAGCGAGACACATACCGAAACAGAGTGTGCTAATACATATAATAGTTTATACCTATAGTAAGTTATAAATAAAACATTATTGTCAAGCTGAATGATCTAAAAAATGGCTAAATGAAAAACCTAATTTATATAAATTCTGCATGTTTAATTAGATTGTGACATAACTTAATGAGTAGCCTACTCATTAGGTTAATTATTTTTTAAGGTCTAATTAATTCGTGAACTATAAGTGTTATGTATTTGAACAAAACTGTCTAAAAAGAATAATTTATTGTCACTTAAATTCTGTCCGAAAAACAATTAAAACATATTTTTATGATGTTTTGAAAACATTTTGGGGGGTGTCCAATTTTTTTTTGTACTGCTCTTTCACTCTCAATTTAAGCACCCCCTCCCCTTCCTAATTCGATGCTGATCACTAAAAACTTAACTATGTTAGTAAATATGTATAATATAATATTTTGTATGGTTATAAATTATTTTTACTCACAATATTTGATTACACATTTGTTTATATTCTATGTATTTTTCTTTTTATAACAAAACTAAATTAAATTCAATTATAAAATCAAACATTTTTTTTTTAATTCAGTTTTTGCAGTACATTGTCGGTCTCTGCGATTTGTCTATGTATTGTGGTTTCATTATAAGGAAAAATGTAATTATTTGTTGTATATTTAATACAAATTTGTCATGTGTAATAATTTTTTATTAGCCAGGGGGTGTCCAGCACAGTAAACACCCCTTCCCCGACTCCCCCTCTTTTCTATGTTATTTTTCCAACACTTAAACCCAAATCTCCAACTCCAAAGCCTTACTTTCAATTATATTGTTCTAGGCCCGATTGAACAATCTGTTTTCATATAATCTGTGATAGTACGTTCAAAGATCTATTCTTAGTATTCATAAACGTAGCTATTGTCATAGAAATATCAATAAAATTAATAATATTTACAACAACTATCATTCGATAATCTTTTTCGATGTTTATAAAATGTCTATTTTCAATCATATAACTTTATGTAATTTGTAACAGTAATTTGTTCAATGGAATATTTTTTTTATCTAAAAAAGTTTTAAACACAATCATTATTGTATTAAACCATCAACAATTTTATTTTAGCTGTACCTAGAGTTAGTTATAAAAAATGATTCCTTTTTTGATATTATAATACTTCTTGATGAAGGAACAGGCTCGGAGACGATTTTTGTCTTTCCTTCAATAAGGGCGTAGATAATATTATAACCACCTACCTTTTAACACTTCTCTTTTTCTCTGTGTCGTTAACAGTAGCTGTGAATTTTTTCAGTGGTATATACTGTATGTGAAGTAGAAGAATATAAAAATTGAACGGAAAAGGTCTGCAAAAAGGAAACAACTTATGCGTACCTATTGCAGTGTGTATGTGGCAAAACGTTGGAGCTCAGAATTGTCTCAGAACGCTGGTTGAGACTATTAGGCCCGGCTTATTGCACCGGCCTGATCCTCGGACTAATATTGTTTTTAATATATAAGAAATAGCTGTAGAGTAACATTCCAATCGCTCTACAATTTACGGGTATTGAAAAAAGTCTTGGATATTTATATGTTTTACGCCTTACTCTCAAATGGCATATCTATATGAATCCTGTAGTACACAATTTATTTTCTAAAGCACCCCCTTGTGCGCACATTGAACCGTTTGAAACCGAACATAAGGCATCACCATTTATTTATTATACTATATCTTATGCTCAGGCGATTTTTATTCCACCGTTTGAGCGTAAATAACACGGCAATCAGGTTTATTTTTTTTTCTCTGGCCGATGGTGTAGGGGTTACGCACGGGCGATCATGAGGGATGCTGTATTTATGTATTATACCGGCGCCAGGCAGCGGTCTGTCTTGCGGTCGAGTACAGCTCATTACCCGCATAGTGTGGCGATGATACACGGTCTATAAGCGGATACAACATATATTATAATACACATTACACGTCTTGTGTGTGTATGTAATATTGTGTATTATATTATATTATACTGTAATCTCCGTTATTGTGCGCAACGCGTGCCGACCGTATTTCTTCTCCTCCATTAGACCTAACAACCTTAAGCCACGCGACGCGACAGTTCCACCCGTTCTGTGTGCACGATAATAATTTTTTTCTATTACTCGTATTATAATTTTGGTGATTTATGGGATGACCCCCCCCCCCTCTTACAGCCAAACCTTTGACGACGTTTGCGCCAGTCGCCTTTGCCGTCCAAAAGCCGTCACGAGTAAGTCTGACACCCGCGAGTAAGTATATTATTTTGAGCGGACGGCGTTGGATTTCCGCTTGGCGAGAATCGCGCACATGATTTATGGTCACGCCGACTTTTGTCCGTTTCATCATATTAATATTTTACCGTAGCGCTTCGCACTATATATAGGTATGCTAAAATGTAAACTATACAGGGTGATTCATTTGATGTATTTTATTTTGTCCTCAGTTGTTAATTAGAGACCTTTTAGAGTGCGAAGTGGGACGTTAAAAAATATAAATATGGTCCAAATTGAAAAATGGCTGACTTACGGTCAAAAATATGTTTTTTGTTAAACAAACAAATGTTCTTATCAAAAATAACTACTTTTCCAGGAAAACATTTTCCGTAAAACCCGTAATTTGTAAATTAAGTCCTTTAGCTATTTTTAGTTTTGTTGTTTTTTATTTTGATGCATATGGTAACCGTGTAATGCGTGGTAACGTTCCTAACCTAACCAATTGCACCTATGACTCATAGGCTATAAAAAATTTCACTTCTTCAATCTTAAAAATAGAGATCAACCCCTCCCCCGAATAAAAAATTAAGTCAATGCAATTGGGTATGCCTCTTTAACAAATTATTTTTCGACCAAAATTTCATCACACTTCTTCTCTTGAAGAGGGGTAACATTTTAGTATTTTAACCGTGTTTTTAGGATTTGTGATCTATAGTTTATACTAAAAATTGGTCTAATATATACCCTATTACGAACTGCGAAATAATGTAAAAATACGACGACAGTTTTTTTTCCTATCAAAGAACACCGGATTTTTGAACTTAAACTTTAAATTTATAATTTTATACATCCATGATAAATATACTTATCAAGTGTACACCACTTTTATAATTTACGGCCTAATCGTTGATTCAATTCTAAAAAATATTTTGTTATTATGCTGATAAAACATTTATGGAATCAGTAGGAATAATATATTTATGAAATGAATTTACATTTTTATTGAATATAACATTATTTTTCGTTAAGCCTCTGATGTGAAACCCAAATTTCAATAACACTTGCCTCATAGCCTATGAGTCGTAGGTGCGATTGGAGGTTTTTTTGGACCAAGCATCCGCTCTTGTCTCTACAGTCTAACGATTTATATAATATTTCAACTTAAAGTAAATGAAGGGATTTTGGTATAATATCCCCCCTTGTAAATGCCCTTGACGCAAGGTCCTTGTTTTTTATCATTCATATTATAACATGCATTTTGAATATTAGTTAAAATATCTGTGTTGTACGAAAACCAACGATATGTTTTCATAAAATTCAGTATTTTTCACAATGTATGTTGAAATGTAAACAAATAAATAATAACTGTTGGCATAAATGTAACACATTTTATAAATTGTATTCTGTTGTTTTGGATAAAAAAGTTTTTTGTATGAACTTATACTGTCATATAATATTATAAGGGAATCTAAATGCTTGAACACAATAAATATAAAATAGGTTATTAAAAATACCAGATATCCAATAGGGCTATAATTTAAATTAGAATACATCATTTCAAAGATTCGATTATTCAAATAGTTATAAAAATATATACATTTTGAATTAGATTGTAATTCCTACTTAAGTCGACGTTGAAGATTGTTAGTACTTAAAAATATTTTTTGTCCGATTCTACCCAGCCCGGACCGATCTAGCCAAATAAAATAAATGTTTATGGCTGGCTAAATGTTCGAAAATTAAATGTAAATACACTATTTACAAAGCCTTCTTCGTAAACAAATTGTATACATTTGTGTTAAAACCCGATCTCTACGAGGTACCATCTTTATTCCAGCAACTTGTTGTACACATTTTGATCATATTATCATATTGGCACCGAAAATCTTGAAGGGTTTAAAATCACTT